TCTTTCGAGCAGCCCAAGCCAACCCAAGCCCCGCTTTCTCTCCGGAGGAAGAAAAAGGGGAGGACCGGAAGGGACGCTTTTTCAAATATGGGACCGTTTCTATAGGGACTGATGCCACACCCTCGCTCAGGATACCCTTCTAGGCATAGCGACTCTGTGCGTTTAACGCTTCGTTTCCTGGTTTTCCGAAAGAGGGCCAAGGAAGCATCCTTGGCACCGCCTGGAGGTTTGGCTTCTCCAGACCCGGCATCCGTGGCTCCCTCCGGGTTTCAAGGGAAGGGATCCGGGGCTCCCTTGCCCAGAAATCGCTGGGCTCTTCCCCATCCTCCCGCCTCCTTTTCTTCTTCCCAGCTCCATTCATGACCAGGAACTCTCACCTGGCCTCTCTGTTTGCCTCTTTGTTCATTTTCATTCAAAAACCAGTCTGGTTGGAGCTTTGCAAAAGAAACGGGAAAATTCGAATCCCTTTAATAATAAAAACAAACCCAGATCTTCATGATTGCAAGGGGATTTCTCTGTAGGATCCCCACCAAACCATGATCAGATGGCAGGATCCGACATTTTGGGGAAGGTAACACTTAAGCCACCAACATGAATTTCACCCAACTCCAGGAGGCAGTAGAAGACCGGAGGGCCTGGTGTGCTCTGGTCTATGGGGTCTTGAAGCCGACTAAACAACAACAAAAACACTTAAGAATCACTTGAAATCATGAGGATCCTTTTTTAAAAAATGAATCTATTTTTAATTTCATCCTGCTGTGTCCTTGTTTACTCTTTCACCAATGCTAGGTTCCCTTCCTCTTTCTTTCTACAGAAAAAGCAAGGATTGGAGAAGGCAGTGAGAGGAGAGAACAGCCACAAAATGGATTGTAGTAAACTCTGGGAAGCAAGCCTGGGCCAGTGCTTTGGTATACAGTGGGGTCTTGACTTGAGAACTTAATCCGGATTGGAAGGCGGTTCTCAAGTCAAAAAGTCTGTAGGTCAAGTCTCCATTGACCTACAGTGCATTGAAAACCGATTAATCCCGTAACAGGCCGTTTTTGTTCCATTTTGGTTTTTTCTGGTCTGTAAGTCAATTCTCAGGCTGCAAGTCAAACCTAAATTTGGCGGCCAGAGAAGTCTGTAACTCAAAAAGTCTGTAAGTCAAGCCGTCTGTAAGTCAAGGGTCCACTGTAGTTCAGAAGAGAGAATGTGGGTGTTTCAAAACCTGGCTGTCTCTGTTATCAGCTTTGATTGTTTCCAATAAAAGGTTGGTTTGTTCTGATTAGCACAGATTTACCTGGTGCGTTAGAGTTATACATGAAACAAAATTCACATGTGCATCATAAAATGGAATCAGACTGCAGACTCAAAATACTTCTGGAGCTGCCAACTCCTTAGCGATCAACTTCCCTTTGAAACTAAAGGAAATGTAATGATTTTTAAAATGCTGCTTTTCAAAAAAAAATGTGAATGAATGTCTTTTGCCATCTCCAACTGCCTGTCTGACCCAATCTTTACAGACCTCACACCTGCAGTGGTTGATTCCCAAAGAAACCCAGAAAATGGGAATCAGAAACTGAGCTTATTCTGCCCTGCTGCCATCTTTAGGGGATGGTCTCCTGCGGGAAATACAACAGGTGCCCCCCCCCTAGTTCTATATTTTAAAAATTCATGACACAATTATTCTGAGAAGCCTTTGAAAAGAATCTTTCTAAATAGCTTGGACACTGGAGGAAGGAGGAGAGGAATCATACGAACTGTAGTCTTCATTAAACTTTTCAAGCCTCCCCTTGGATTTCCTCTCCGTAAATAGAGAACTCTCCTCACCCGTTCTCCTTCCCTCCTTTTTGTGGCGCCACAGATAAGGTGGAGGGAGGAGGCTCTGCCTCTCAGGGGTAAGGGAGCTGTCGGCCTCCCCTCGGCCTGCCCCGCAGCCCCCAAAGGGAACCTTTTCGCCCTCCAAGGGAGCCAAACAGGGAACCTTCTCCCCCCCCCCGCAGATGGCTTGGAAGTTGCAGGATTAGCCCTTTTGCGAGCATGAGAGGTGGAAGGAGGCGGTCCCAAGGTTTCATCCTTCAGGCAGCAGAAAGGCTTGGGCCACAAAAGCTCTTGAGGGCTCCCCTCTGGCTGCCTCTCCTGCCCAGTCTTGGGGGGCTTCCCTTCCCTTGGCTGGGCTTGGAGTTGGGGGGCTCTCCCTCCCCCAGTCCCCCCCACTCACCCTCCCAGGCAGCCCTTCTGGGACACACTCACCCTCCCTCCCAGTTGCAATGGGGGGAGGCGGAAGGAGGAAGCTCCCCGGATGGCAGGAAGAGAGAAGCAGATTCCGGACAAGCTTTCCAGTGATTGAAGCCATGCTTCCCTCTGGAAGAAGGAAAAGTAGGGGCTGCAAGGGACTGTTTTTGGAAAGGGAACTTTTCCTAGGGAGACAGACAAGTTTCCTGCTTTGCAGTTCCTCTTTTCTCGGAATATCAACTCGTATTAAACCCTGGGTGACAAGATGGAGTATCCAGGACTTCCAAAATAGGTGTCCCATTCCCAGTCTGTGGCTCCCTCCCGAATTCGATTTGAGGGCTCAAGAAGTCCTTACTCAGAAATTGCTCAGCTCTTCCTCCTCTTCCCTATCTCCTAAGTCATGAAATCTTCCCCAAACCACTCTCAAATCTTAGATTCCCAACTGTGCCAATCAATCAAGGAAGGAAGGATCTGTCAGCTCATGGCTTATGTGTTCTCCAGCCTGAAGGAGACAACCTGGATCTGTGGCACAGCGGGTGCTTTGGGGGGGCAAGAGATTCCTTTGCCCCACAGGTCAAAGGGTTCTCTCCGCTCAACCCAAAATGGCTCCTGCAAAGAGGCAGAAAGAAGGGAACCCATTCAAGAGGGTTAAGGTGGCCCAAGGCATTCTGCTGCCTGGAGCAGATAAAACCCTCTCCTCTTCTCACCCAGACCTGAGGTGTATCCTTCACGGAGACAGACCAAATGAATCGCCCAAGGCCAACACAAGAGATGGGATGGTGTTTACTCATGGCTCCAACATAACAGAGCAGGAGAGGTTTGAAGGTGGAAGAACAGAAATCGGGGAAGCTCAGAAGTTCTGGTTGGGGGCTCCCAGGGCTTCCCCTCCAGCCTCTGCTGGCTGCAAACCCTCGCCTCCAGGTTATTCTTCCCACACTAAAGGGACAAGAATTTTGTAATAAGAATTTAGGTCTGGAATCACCTGTTTCATATAAGAAGCTACTACCAATGAATGGGCCCCTGGAAAGGAACCAGGAAGAAAAGGGTTCGTCATC